AAAAAAAAAAAAAAAAAAAAAAAAAAAACCTCTCTAAAAAAAGTTATATATGATGTTTACCTGGTATTTCTAATGGAAGCATAGCTCCAAAACACATTCTGCAGCAACTTCTCAAGCAACTTACAGCAGCAACCACTGAGGCATTGTTCCCACGTCTAAATGTCAACTGCCCCAAGAGAGACTTCTTCACACAGGCTCCCACTTTCCCATCAGCTCTAAACCTTTTAGATGGCCAGTGAGGATCCTCAGCTCCTGCCCGGAGACCAGCAGGAACATGCTCACTCACTACCAGCAATTCTGGAAATCCCTTCCTTCCTCCTGCATGTCTCAATCCCATGGCCCAGGACCCTGTCTGCCTTCCTCACCATACTGCCCTCTCCACGGGCACACAGTAAGAACCAACAAGTGCAAGTGTGAGCTCAGAGACTCCACTTGCTTGCGATCTACCCACCTGCCCACCACTTCCAAACTCCCTTAGAGAAAATGCACATCTATTTTGATGTGTTAAATTTATATATAAAAAGTCCTCATGGCCTAGCGGTTATGGGAGCTAGATCCCACATGGTTGACTGCCATTCAAATCCTGGCCCTGACAACTTAAAAAAAATCCCAGGCCTATGTGTACAGGTCCAAAAATCCCAACAAAACAGAGAAATGGAGAAGAAGGGATTGAGGCTTAGCCATGTCCCATTATGGGGTACCTTTTCCTCCCCTTTGTCTCTCTCTGGCAAGTACACACTCCATCTGGCAATTTTAAAAAAAACAGTGAGAGAATCACTGGACAAAATGATATGTGGCCATTACCCAACACTGCCACACACTGCTCAGCTTCAGAAACAAGTAATACTGATGAGCTCTGTGCTACGTGCCAAGCATGGTGCTTAGCCCGGGAAACGCTGGACCAGACATGGTTTCTGTCCTTTAGGTGCTCACAAGCACTTGAGATGACACTGACATGGAGAAGTATCAAAAAGTACAAGAATGTTCACTGTTCCTATATGTTCTGGAGTACTGGAGAGAATCCCTTCCTTCCTCCTGCATGTCTCAATCCCATGGCCCAGGACCCTGTCTGCCTTCCTCACCATACTGCCCTCTCCACGGGCACACAGTAAGAACCAACAAGTGCAAGTGTGAGCTCAGAGACTCCACTTGCTTGCGATCTACCCACCTGCCCACCACTTCCAAACTCCCTTAGAGAAAATGCACATCTATTTTGATGTGTTAAATTTATATATAAAAAGTCCTCATGGCCTAGCGGTTATGGGAGCTAGATCCCACATGGTTGACTGCCATTCAAATCCTGGCCCTGACAACTTAAAAAAAATCCCAGGCCTATGTGTACAGGTCCAAAAATCCCAACAAAACAGAGAAATGGAGAAGAAGGGATTGAGGCTTAGCCATGTCCCATTATGGGGTACCTTTTCCTCCCCTTTGTCTCTCTCTGGCAAGTACACACTCCATCTGGCAATTTTAAAAAAAACAGTGAGAGAATCACTGGACAAAATGATATGTGGCCATTACCCAACACTGCCACACGCTGCTCAGCTTCAGAAACAAGTAATACTGATGAGCTCTGTGCTACGTGCCAAGCATGGTGCTTAGCCCGGGAAACGCTGGACCAGACATGGTTTCTGTCCTTTAGGTGCTCACAAGCACTTGAGATGACACTGACATGGAGAAGTATCAAAAAGTACAAGAATGTTCACTGTTCCTATATGTTCTGGAGTACTGGAGAGACCCTCAAAGTGGAACCCAAAGTCATCCTGCATAGGTGTATGCCACACAACTCCAAGGAGCTCCATGCACATCGCGGTCCTTATGAAAAGTGACCCTGGACTGATGCAGTACACAACCTGAGCACCCACACATGGAGGCTCTGATGTGGTCTTCCATACACATCACTTCACCTAATTTATACAACAATCCTAAAAGGCATTTATTATTTCCTCTTGTTACAGGGAAGGAAAACAAGGCTCAGAGAAATTAAGTAGGTTTTCTGAGATCACACAGCTGGTAAAAGGCAGACCTTGGAATCAAACACAGGTCTGTCTACATCCAAGGGGTTCTCTGACCACAGAACTTTCCCTTGATCCACTTTTTTCTTACTATTACAACCACTAATTCTTTAGAAACTGCTGGATACCCAGTTTAGAAACTGATCCCCTAAAGAAAACATCCAAACACCAAAAAAAAAACCCACAAAGCAAGACAAATCTAAGACATAACTTTGGAGAAGACATGGAGAGCAAAGGACAGATAAAAATGAAGCAAAGCCTTAAGAAGAAGCTATTTTTTTCAAGACACACACAGAACAGATGGGCATGAAAAGACTGGGCCAGACAGTGGTGCAGTGGTTCAGGCAGTTGTAACCCACACGCTGACTGCAAAGTTTTTCAGTGGTTTGAGAAACATACCAGGCGTGTGTGCATATATGCCCAAAATCCCAAGAGAAAAATGGAAGAAAAGGGACTATGGCATGGCCATACCCCTTAGAGGTGCGTTCTCTTCTCTCTCTCTCTCTCTCTCTCTCTCTCTCTGAGTGTGTGTGTGTGTGTATGTGTGTGTTTGGTACATATTGCCTTCTGATAATTTTTTTAATTAACTAGTAGGATCCCTCATATAGTGATTGATTTCTCCTCTGTTTCTTAAACCAGCTTGGGGCTTGTGCATATGGATTCCAGGGAAATACTAGTCTTGGCTGAATATCTGGCAACAGTAAAAAGGTCTTGTGAGGCCCAGTCAGTGGCAAGGTGATTGAGGCGACTGGATCTCACAGGGCAGATTATGCAATTAGAGTACCAGACCCAGTGGCTTAAGGAATACAACAGGCACACACACCCAAAATCCCCAAAGGAAAATGGAGGAGAAGGGACTGTGGCATGGTCATCCTCCCGGGGGGTGATTTCTCACTCCCTCTGGCAAGTGCACATGCCTTATAGCATATTAAAAAAAAAAAAGGGGGAGGGGGGGGAAGGAGCTCCTTTTTGGGAGGAACACAAATTGAAATATTTACAACGAAACTTTCATAATAGTCAGGTTCAGAGCAATCCAGCTATGAAAAGAGAAAAGGAGATACAAGTGAGCCAAGGGAGCCAGGTGGTGGCAAAACGTGTTGCTCTGTAAGGCCGACCCACGTGGGAAGGTTCAGGGTTCACATCCAGAGAACGTACTGGAGTACACAGGTATGCGTATGCCCATGATCCCGGGCTCACTGAAGCTGGCGGTGAATCACAGCGTGGGAACACCACTGGGGGTATGATGTCTCTGTTTCTATCTCTGTGTCTCACTCAGAAAATAAATGTACAAATAAAATTAAATGAAACAAGACTGGCCCAGTGCTGATGAGTGTTCCAGGGGATGATGATGGATATGTGGACTTCATCATACTATCCTTTTGTATATATTTGAACATATCAATAAAAAGGTTTATTTTTTTTTAATGCAGCAAAATTCACTACAAACTGAAAACATGGCAATGAGTTACCTGAAAACAAGGCAATGAGTTATACAGTCAAGCAAAGGAACATTTTAAAATACAAAAGAATGGGCCCAGCAGGTGGTATGGTGGTTAAGGTGCTGGACTTTCACATGGCTGACCACAGTTCAAGTCCTGGACGTGGCAACTTGCTTTCTCACTTTCCCTTTCTTTCTTTCTCTCTCTCTCTCTCTCTCTCTCTCCCTCCCCCTCTCTCTCTCTCATCAAATTAAATAAATAAATAATTCTTTGGCGGGGGCGGGGGGATATTAGTCCCTCCTACTTTGCTTTTCTAGAGTGGATTTCTATAGAAAGAGATACCAGTCTATGCCAGTAAAAGCAAATATTTTACATGAAATAAAAAACAAAAACAGGTTTCTGGACCAGACTCACAGACCACAATGTCTCCAACCACCCCTGCCACGAAGCTCACCTGTGATGCCAGTGATGCAGACAGTTTGGGTGGGGGGTGCCATTTTCTCACAGGACAAGGTGCTGATGCTGATGTTGTACGAGGTAGAAAAATTCAAATATGGGACCTCCGTC